TCATAGGTAAGCATCATTTCTTTATTTGATATTGTATATAACATGGTATACATTGTGAAAGAAACAACATCTCTTACATACATGTGTAGCAAGTTAAATGCTAGCCTGCCTACGTGAACACACCTAGCTAATATTAAAAAAGAAATTCAAAATAATACTATATACTAGTTGTGCCTGAATAGTAGCTATGCCTATCTACTTAGGAAATTTGGCGAATTCTTTTGATTTTTTAAATGTAAAAAATTGCAAAGAAAAATAAAAGCTACTATAGCTAGAACTACGTTAAGTAAACTATAATCTATAGGTAGAAAACTACTATTTCCCCTTGGAAGCCTCCAGATAAGCTCATGGTCCCATCTTTTCGGCTCATCGGTTACCATAGATAATAGAGTATACGTGGCGTTGTTTGTTGTTATAGTTGTTAGTAATGTGTTAGTTGTTATTGTTGTTGTAATCATTGTTATGGTACAAACCTGTTTAAGCTTGATCGAGTTTTATTTTGATCTTTAAGCGAAATCTGATTGGATGATTGAGAAGCGCAGATCATCTTAAGGGGTAAATTGATTTTGGTTTTTTTGGATGAAAATTTTTTGAAAAATGAAAATGGCGCAGCAATTATTGCTACGAAAATATTGTGTGTATAGGTTGATTTAAAACAAACAGTAGACCCACTAACTCTGTTTATAAATGTGTTTTGGAAAGTGTTTGACTTAGTGAGTATGATGGTGATAATGTATATGGTTTTTATGATATAATAAGGATAAGGTAGAGTGCAAGAGAACTGAAGAAAAGAAAACTGCCACGGGCCTTTTCTCATGCAACCAAAGGATAAGCAAGACTCCCAAACTTGAATAGACTTCGATCAGAGGTCCCATCCCACTGCACCAGTTGTCTTGAAGGTTCTTGAGTTCCTGAGCTAAGGCTCACTTGCGATAAAGAGTGTAAAACATTTTTTCTTGCTTAAAATTACCATAAAAGGAAATTTTTAACAAAACGGACATGATCAGGAGAGAGTTTTTTACATAATTTTTTTTTTAATAACTTTAATTTATTATTTTAAAAAAATTTTTTTACATTATTTTAAATAAAACTTATAAAGAAAACATAATTGTAATTAGAAAAGAAAAATAACATTAATAACTTGATACAATATAGTATGTATAATATCTTAATCATAAACTTATTCCTTTTATCGACCAAGTAAACCGTTTCTTTGTTATACGACGTATCCTAACAAACTCGGCATTTTTTCTTCAACAATAGATTTGATTATCAACATTAATAGGTTAAAGTGTTTGCTATATTTAGAAACAAATAAAAGTGCTTATGGTAAAAGATTTAATATTACAAGCGCGTTAAGAGAAATTTGGGTGAAAAGTATCTTCAGTATGTGGGTCTTGATCAAAAAATAATTATGCCAATTTTGATCTTAGTTTAGTGTTGTTAGGATTTGAATCCATCAGACTAATACAGTTTGGAGTTAACAAATTAAAATCGTTACTCATTTAAAAGGGGATGAAACTAGCATTCATAGAATGTACTATTGTTAAATTTTGTTAGGCTTGTCATTATAACGAAAATAACAATTATAATACTAACGTACGATTGTTTTCTATTTTTTGATTTGACGTTACCTCTTACCACAGAGCCTGTGAATAACTTTAACTCGTTATTTATATAAGGACTAAATTTATAGTTTTGCAGATACCTGATGGCTACTTTGGAATTGTTCCATTTTTCAGCATTGGTGAGAATTTCTTTGTCCAGATTCATATGATTTTCAACTTACCTATTGTCATTCCAATCAAGACAAACACTTTCGCTGTTCTTTCGTGTAAACTGATTTGGAATTGCAGGGTATAGCGTTTCAAAATTTAACTACTGTATTTCAATGGTTATTCTTGTAATAAATCTGAAACATCGGACGGGAAAACCAAACAGTAAGTAGAAAAAAATGAATCGATTTTACTTAATAATAGGTTGTGGCATAACGAATATTCAAAGAAACGGAAATGTTGTCCCTTATCCCCTTACGCCGAAGACTCGCTAGAAACTTAAATACTGTACAATGTTCTCATTTTAGCTCTACAAATTACCGAAAGAAATGCAATATAAAAGAATTATTGAAATCCGGTTTTAAATTAAATTTCGGTGAAACGTCTGTAGGAAAAAATTTAATGACTGCTCGATGCAGAAACTTTACACAAATCAGTTTATCGAGAAGTGGAATCACAAAATGGTCTGTTGCTTGAAATGGATTCTACTGTATTATAGTGATACAACTAGGATGTATTTGTATGTAAAAAAAAAGACAGAATACTGAAATAATAACTCTTTTGAGTCATTGGAAGCGACTTCCGCAACTTGAGGCTTGGAAAATAGTACACTATTTTTTTTCACGTGATTGGGTAAAAATAAAAAAAATTAAACATGAAAGTCTCTCTCTAGTTTTATTTCCTAAAAACATGCGATTCCCTTTTATTAAATAAGTAAACATATATTTAAATAATATATATATGTATATATAAACAATTTTGAAAATGTATTTTTTATAAAAATTATGCCGTTAATATTCCCTTCAAATCATCTTGCCTCCTTTGTAACTTCATTTCGCCATTATAAGCTGATGCCAAATACATCAAGGTGGCAATAAACAGATATATAGCAGGGTTAACGTTTTGATAATTTATAATTGAGATGACGCTGACGGAAATGTAGAAAATAATTCGCGGGAAGTAGGAAGTTGACGTAAAGAATGAGAAAAGGGGGAACTCGATTGCAAATATTATTAAACCGAAGACACTATTAAACGCGCGTTTTAGTTATTGGTATTTGATACGAAGATAGTAATGTGAAAGTTCTTTCTACTCACATACAAACTATCGAATCTATGTTGAGAGGGCTTGTTATTGAATTAAAAAACCTGTATTGAAAAATAACTTGAGTAAATGAAAATTTGATAGTTCTCAACAAATTTAAAACGCACATTATTTACTTACTTTACGCTTTCAAACGTGGAAATATGATAAAATATGCCAAATATTCCACCTATCGTTTCAACTGTAGAGAGATTAAGCGTCAGCATAAATACAAAAAAAACTATACGTCTCGAAGTTACTTACAAACACTAGCTGTAAGTGCAACTGACCGCGCCCATTGACTCCAAATCAATCTGCCCATTTTTTATGAAATTGTTAAAACTTCTAGTTGAGAATGTAGAAAAGTCCTTTTATATACAAATACATGATATCTCCTTTTATTTTGACGATCAAATTTTAATATAACCAGACGGAAGACCAAGATCGGCTAAAGAAGCGTGGAATCAATTAAACGCTAGCTTTGGTAACCAGAATGAATAACCAATGTGTAATCGATCGAATACCGAACCAAATAAATTCAACGGTGAACTCATCATTTTCTCCCGATAATTGCAATGTAATTATAGGTTATCGCTATGTATATTTACACGTGTTTAATTACATAACGGGCACACTATTTATAGTCAAAAATTTGAAAATCCACATACAGTAAATATGAACGCTAGAGGCCTAGTGTAAAAACTTATAATGATCTTATACAAACTAGAATTTACCAGTTAATTAGTATCCACCATTAAATAATGTTAAAATTTTTTATTATTTGATTTTTTTTAATTTGAAATTACATGTTTATTAAATTATATTAAACTATTACAAATACAAGATATAAATGTATATATAAACCTATTCGATTCAGCTTATCCATTAATAATATAAGCCTTAGATATAATTTATAAAGTAAAATATTACTTATTTATTAAATATACATAATCAAAATCTATAATTATTTTTATATTAGAAATCTGAATTATATTATCTATTTTTTATAAAAATATATATACATAAAAAAAAAAAAATTGAAAAAAATAATAATACAAATTTGTCTAAAAAGTCTTTGGACAAATTTTTCAATTTAAATTTTTATTCACAATTCAATAAATAATTAATAAAATAAAATAAAAATTTAAATATGTATATATTGATAAGAATATAAAAAAATAATAATTATTTAATAGGTTTTTATTAATATTTTATTAAAATTTATTGAAAACTATTATTATATCAAAATAAAACATTTAAATTACAATAGATAGTAAAATAATTTATTTATATTAATTTTAATTTATTAATTGTAAAATAAACCAAAATTAAAAAATAATAAAAAAACTTTTTCTTATAATATTTCAATTTATAAAAAAAAAAATTTTTTTTTTTTTAAAAAATACATAAACAGCAAATATTAAAATATTAAAAAACAGTATTTTATTTTTTTAAAGTTTTTGTTTTTTGCTAATAATAACTAATGCCAAATTAATAAATATAACCTTTTGACTAACTATAATATCTTGCATAAATTCTAGTATTTTTACTAACAAATCAAACTATTATAATAATACAAACTGCTTTATATTCTATATAAACTCAAAATTATCTTATATAAATAAATTTTTAATACTATTTTTAACTATATAATCAATTATATATGGCTTATATAATGTTATTAACTGATTGAACTAATTATAATTAATACTATTACAATTATATCTATCAATTTACTATTACTTTTAAAACTCTTTCAAATAGTAATTATGTCTAAAATATTTTTTTATTTTTTATAACAAATAGTTTCTCAAGTTTTTTTTGTTTTAAAATTTTTTAAATAATATATCTATTTAATAAATAGTAGGCTAATATTTATAATGATATAGTTTATATCTTAATATTAATTATATAATTAATTAAATTTTTACTTTATTAATAATGATAATAAATAATATCTTATTTTAACATTAAATAATAATAATAATAATAATAATAATTAAAAAATAACTTTTATTAAATTAAATTTATGAATCTATAGAACAATTATAATATTTCATAGATTATTAGAAGAAGGTTTGAAATTCAAATCTATCAAATATAAAATTTATTACTTTTATAGTTGGTTAATTAACTTTCAATTTATATTATACTTAATTGGTTAAAAACTATTTTTTAAATTTAGTTAGGTTGTATAATGATATAATTTCTAGTCTTCTTGATAATTATGAACTGAAAACAAATTAAAATAAGAAAGGTTATATAAGAAAAAAGTTTCTGATTTAACTTTAGTAAAAATCTATTAATATAAATCCAAATTGATAATATTAGATTCTGTTATACAATTTTAAGAAATTAATTCTAAGCTAATCTATTTCAATTTAAAATCTATTCCAATCAATAGTATTTCATAGAACTTAAATATATAACCAAAGAATAAAATATCAATTATAAGTAATAAAAAGCTAAACAAAAATCATTAAGCCAAGTAAATTTAGTAAAAATTAATATAATATTAAATCAGAATTTAGCAAAAACACCAGTTTCATAAATAATAAAAACAGTAATATTACATTATGCTAGTAATACATTTCAAAAATTAAATAATAATAATAACTGAAATATTAAAATTAATTTTTATAATGTTATTTCACAATATATCCTATTTATAATATATATGAATCTAGTATATTAAATAGTTTTAAAACTAATAATAAGATTTTCACTTCTCTATATAAGTTTTACTAATATATAAACCATTTACTTGATATTTAAAATTGTGTATACTGGATATATTATAGTTGTAACATAATAAATTAATAATTAAAAATAATTTATTAGATAATATTAAGTTATTATTTTTTTTTTTTTTTTTTCCCTAGTAGGTAAACATCATTTCTTTATTCGTTTTTGTATATCAATTATAGATACATTTGAGAAAGAAACAAC